TCTCATTTTCTCTCTTATTTGACGAATCTCACCTTCTTTTTTCCTCTCACTTATCTTCACGCCTATTCTCCTGGTTCTTTCAGACTACGAGAATGTCCTCAGCGTTCATATAACTCTAAGCTCTTGATAAGAGCTTGACCATATCGAATGAGGCTTTTTGGAGTAGGCAAACAAGAACTAGGAGGATTGCAATCCACCCATGAAGGCAATCAAAGCTACCTTATCTTCCATATTATTGATCTGGAGAGACTGCATAGTGAAGCGATTGACATATTCTCACAGCGTTTCACCCCTTGTTTGTTTGACATTAAAGAGGTAGGTTGGGGCTCATAGGTGAGCCCTACCCCCAAAGAAGTGCGAGATGAATGAGGTACTTAGTTCTGCGACCATGTTGATTGAGCTGGGTTTCATCTTGTTGAACAGTGTCTTGTTATCCCCTTTAAGGGTGGTAGCAAAAGCTTGACACATAATCTGATCGGGGACATTGTGGAGCATTATTAGAGACCTATAGGTCTCCAAGAGGTCCAATGGATCCTTAATTCCATCGAACATTTCGATCATTGGCATCAGGAATCTTTTTGGTAAAGGGTAATTGGAAACATCTTCGGAAAAAGGTGATTTGGTATTTTGGACTAGGGTCTCAATAGCTATTGGGACCCAGGTTTTTATTGTGTTTATCACGTTTCCTAGTTTCTCGTTAACGTTTTGAAGCTTTCTTTCCCACTAGTCGTTGACCTGGGGTCGAACGACTTCATTTTGACTCCGATCAACCTCTAGGTTATCCCCCACATACTCCCTGGTCTAAGATTGATCTCTTTCTAGGAGTTGAATGATTTGTAGATTTTGGAGTTTCAATTCCTCGATCGCCTTTTCTAGTCTTTTAACCTTCGTTGGCTTCTTCTTGTGGGCCCTTCGCCCCACACGGCGGGTGCTAGGGCGCTCGTGAGTTCAGTTCATTGCTGGCTCCTTGGATGCTCTAGTTACTACCATGGGATTTTAAAGCTTTGTTTCTTAAAAGCTGCACCTCTGGAGAGTGAGAAGATATGGCAATCGACAATAGGTTCTTGCAAGGGAAATCGAGGACCGGAGGGGCTCCGGTAGTTAACCCTTCGATAATAAAGTCAGAAAGCGTTGACTGAACTATATTTAGCTAGGAAGGATTACTTACTTGATTCATGGCTTGTATGATCCTTTTATAGGCTAGGCAAATTGTACCATTAGAAATAACTTAGCTGCTTTACAAATGAAGTGGAAAGAAAGGTGGAACTCCCCCCCCCCCCCCCCAAGTGTATTGCAACTGGTGTGAGCTACTTTTGTGGGAGATGGGAGAACAGGCTGTTTGGCTGCTATTGGAACCCTCTTAAGAAGGGAAGTTTCACATCCCAAACGCTCACGTGCCAAGCTTGCTCTCACGTGCTTGCCTTGTGCCTAATTCATAGTCATCAAAAAGCACCATTGCAATTGATTTTGAAGCCATATTGAGGAGGAGGTTGCCATTTTGGAGATGTATTAATATCAAGAAATTCTTCAGAAGCTACACTTTGTTTCATCCAAATCATGCTATCCAACTCTCCCATGGTATGCCGAGCCCGAAATATTATTACTTTTGGATCCAACTCTTTGTTATTGAATATAAAATCATTTCTGGATTTTCAGATACACCAGCTCACCATGGTGATTTTACTAAGTTTAAATAATACTGGTCAGTTAAAACTACCCATGTTACAAAAGGATATTGAGTACCACCATGTAACAGGGGCACATTGTCCATTGAATTTAGGGAAAAAAAAAGGCATATAGAAAATTTGAGATTTAAGTGAGTTGACTACAACCTAGGATCGAGGTTCGCTAGCTACATAATGATTCACATCTTTATTCTTCTTAATAATATGCTAAATCAATCCTTCGTATATAAAGGCAAAATTTCGTCCGAGTGTTTTTTACCAAGCAACCAAAGTTTTCGAAAAACCCATTAGAGCAAAATAATCTTGGGTAGTTTGGGATGGGTATCCTTTTGTGGGTTTATTTGGACTTAAGTCTACTCAAAAAACTTGTTTGTAAGTAAGTCTATTTTGATCTCCATTGTGTAAAGTACTTTCAATAGCTATATTAAATTTAAACTTGTTTGGGAAAACTAACAATTTATACATTGAGAATTGTACTGACATTAAAATTGATTCTTTATCATAGCTATCTAGATCTATACATAGATTATGATTATTCTCTCTCTCTCTCTCTCACACACACACACACACATAAAATAATAACATTCAAAATAAAAAAATAGTAACATTTAAAACAAAATTTGTTCAATATTCCATGTTACCAAATGTTTTTTATTGACTATGTTACTACTTTTTTTTTATTAAACACGTTATTTTTTTTGTTGATTATGTTATTTTTATTTTTTGTGTTTGAATGTTATTATTTATATATATACTAGCAATATACGACGTGCATTACACATAAATAAATTTAAATAATATTTTTTTTATAATGCGATCCTTTATTTAGGAATCTCTTTTTAGTTTGTTAAATAGATTGATTAGATCACTTATAATATTATTATATTATTGCATATCAAAAAATAAAATATAATATATATTTGATTTTAGAATTCAATCCGATAACTATATGTGTATAATAATTTAAATTTAACATATATATGACTTTAGTTCTTCATATATATATTGGACAAAAAAGGAAACAATCGCATAAGTGATTAAAATTTATAATTTTGGCCCCACTTTCAATTATTTTAAATTTAAATTTTATTCACCGTATCAACGCCACATTATCTAGTCCTTAATTTTTGTCCCTTTTTCGTCATTCTTGCATTACCCTAAAAAATAGACCCACTGAAACTTGTTGAGAGACGAGACAAATGAATCAAGTTTTTTGAATAAATAATGAATGTAATATGCATTGATTTTCTAATTGTTCAATGTTGATGGTGATGGGATTCCAAACTTTATTCTTTAGGGCTAATGTCATTTTGTATGCTAAATGATGTTTTAATTCTTAATTTGTACGCTTAAACATTAAAATTTTTAATTTATACTCTCAATGTTATGAATTTGTGACAATATAGACCTTGTGCAGACTAACATTCAATTTTTCATAATAAATTAAAGTACGTGAGTTGCAAGTGCTTCGTCCATGGACTTATGTATAAATTTACAGACTGTTGACGCTCCATGTAAGTTGCACATGATAGTCTTTTTCTCTATTTGATTAACAAAATCGAAAAAAAACGATGCCAAATTGATCAGAGATCATCAGCGATGGACACATTTCATCTTCATGTCCAAAGTACTTACAACTCATGTGCTTCAATTTATGACAAAAAATTAAACAGTAAATTGAACGAGACTCACATTGCTATTAATTCATAACATTGAGAGTGTAAATTAAAAATTTTAATGTCTGAGGATATAAATTGAATATTGAACTATCTTTCACGGTACAAAATGTGATTAACCCTATCTATATAATAAAGTAGCTTACAATTCAATTTTCAAAAATAAACAAAATAATTTTTGTTATTTGCGGTTGAAATCGCTTTAAATTTTACTTTAAAATTAATCTAACGGTTAATATTAACACCTTAAATTTAATAGGAAAAATAGGGTCATAAGGATGTGTATTGGAGTGACTTTCTAAAAGTACTTCTACAAATTATTTCTCATAAATACTTTAAAAAAAAATAATATTTGAAACCGCCTCACCACTTCCTTTATTACCACCATCGTCGCCACCACCACCACCACCACCGCCGCCACCACTACCACAACCACTACTGCTACCACCATCGTTGTCGTTGTCACGATCGCCACCACCACAACCACCACCGCCACCATCATCACCACCCCCACCGCCGCCCCCGCCACAGCCATCGCCACCGCTGCCACAACCACCATCGTCGCCGCCACCGCCACCCCCATAGTCACCACAGTCGCTGCCACCCCCACCACAACCGCTACTGCCGCCGCCGCCGCGACCACCACCGTGGTCATTGCCACCCACCACAACCATCACCGTCTTTTACCATTATCACTGTCGCCCATTACCTCTCACCTCCACTACAAACCGATGCTTAAATTCTTTTATCTCTTTTCTATATTTGTGATTTGATTTTGGACATGAATACAAATATATTTATTGTTTACTATTTTTTATTACTTTGTGCTTTCAGACACAGGTAATAACTAGTTTTTTAATACTTTAACTTTTGCCCCCTAGTTTATGGAACAAATTGGGTTTCTTTTCCAGAAAATAACTTAATTTATGAGTGGAGAATGGTACACTGTATTACCATACTTAGGCAACGTAGGTCGAAGGCATATTGAGCAAGGAATCGGCAAAATATCCAATTGATTGCTTTGAGTACTCAACCTCCACATAATTTATCTAGCAGCCACAAGAAAAACAAAAAGAACTGCATCTGAGCAATGCTATATTGAACTTGCTTCTTTTTCTCTCTCAAAAAAAAAAATCGCTTCTTTTTTGGTGGGGAATAAAAAAAAACACCGAACTGACACGTATGTTATTGAATAAACCCATTGCCTAATTAAAATTTTAACATTTGATACCGTCATTACTTCCTCAACTTCAACTCATATTTCAAAGGGATTGATTTCCACCGATAACATTATTTCGCAGACAAAATTCCATAGATAACTCATAATGGACCACTTGATTTACAAGTTCACTATGGTATCAGAGAAGATAGCAAATTCTTGAATTCAAAACAGAGCCAACAAGCACCAAGATTCAATATTTGTGGGATATAGGAGGCCAAGACACTCCAATAAGCCAAGATGCATTATTACTATTCATACCATTCAACCAGTGGCTGAACAGTGGGGTTTTCAAAACCTGGGTTGGGGAAGGAGGATGGCCACCCTAGGCCATAATTGCTACCCATCACTGCCCTGAAGACACAATGGTTTCCATAATGGTTTCTAAGAATCCGAAGAATCATAAACAGGTGCAACAACCTCCCTTATGTGCACAATCACTTGCAAATTAGAAACATACAGACATTATCCAAAACCGATTCTCACAATTGTTGCTGGCCACAACAGCTTAATAGGATTACAAGTTGTTCAGTAGTTATATTGTAGATTAACATGCTTAAATTGAAATACAGAATGCTACGTCCCAATCCTTTTATAAAGTATGCCATCATGTAATCCATTACATGTCTTGCAACCTTTTTCTATCCACAAACAGAAGAGACCATGTTTAGTATCTGATGCTTCTCTATCTTTTCCCACTTCCTGTTCTGACGGATGCCAATCCAACTTGGTATGCATAGGCAGGCGTGTAGCGTAAAGCAGTACCAAGGTGGAAAAGAAAGCATTGGCTTGAGCTAAAAGCGAAGACCACTCTCCATGATTCCTTTTCTAGCCAGCATGAGAATGCAATGAATTATCCAGGCCCCAGATCATCACAATAAGGACTAAATCTTACTCGACGATCACAGAAAAAATCGAGGACACTCGATCTTTATCACAACATCTGAAGATCAAGTCCAAGTACTGCATACCATCCCGAGGGACAAGGCCTTCCATAAAAAAGCGAATCAGGTGTGAGTGCGTCCCGCACATCACATCCACACATTGCTCCATTACCCTCTCTTGCTGCTCTTTACTCAACTCTGCTGCCTCCATCAATGGCAGTAGCTCTCTCTCCTCCTCTTCAAAATGTTCCTTGCAGTGCTCCTGGCAAGACAGAGCAAACTCCCCAATTATTTATCTGGTCGCGATTCCTAAAGTAATGATTCTAAGGAATGTTACTTAAGGTGCACATGAGAAAAAAGTAGTGGAGTAACAAGGAATCAAAGGGTAGGCTTGAAGATGAATCAATCTGGCTGATCTAATCCAACTTCTTTTGGTGGAAGTGGAACCCACAACCCAATATGGTTAGAGTAGAACTCACCTGTAATGTTTTTAGTCTTGTAGAAAGGTTGAAAAGGGCCTCTTGGTAGACAGGGCTTCCTGAATCAAGAACTCCAATGGATTTGATGTCCTCTTTGATGCCATTCATAATGGGTAGGTCCCTTGCATGTTCTTCATTTGCAGCTTTGCACAATCCTGCACCATCACATCCTCAAAAGTCAGTATCTTGTAGTGAAAGCATATCCCTGGTACAGAAAGACCACATAATCATAAAAGCATTACTCTAGAGAAACTAATATTCATTATCAATATATCAAATGAAAGGGCAGATATTCCCCACTGGATTCAAGAAAACCCAATCCCGTACATAGTGAAATTTCTCATCCAGCAAACAAGCCTCATTTGATCTAACAATTTAAATTTTTTCTGAGCAATTTTCAATACTCTAAAAGCTTACGATGTTTAAGTTGTTTCAAATACTTGACTAAACAGGATTTTCTGTGTGCTTTCCTAATTCAGCTAGTATGATCTAGTGACAGTCAAATTGTTCATGATATACCCCCCAAAAAAATCATGACAATAACTTTCTGAAAGCAGGAATCCCATCCATTGCAGAACAACTTCTTCATCACATTTCAAAACAATTCATACCATAAATCTTAGATCTGTTGCGGATGCCAAATAGTCAAATAACCGACACTTTCATTAGCCCCAATTTCCGTCTCTAATGGCAATACACAATATTCCCTGGCAGCCCCTTGGACAAATTAGCAACTTACAAGATTCCTATATTCTCATATAATTTTGATTTGGACAAACCAATTGTGTGAACCCCCATCATATAACATTACAATCTACTCTTTTGATAATTCAATACTCAATCAAAAGAATCAAATCCAAAGCTTCTCAATAATTAGTGCATCCACATTGATTGACCTACCAATAAAGGATTGCCAATCTACCACCATGCTATCTAGTAATTAGAATCTATAAATTCACAAAAAAAAAAAGAAAAGATCTCGATCAGTAAATATTATTTTTTTAACTGAATCATTTCAATCACATACTCATGGTTGTAGATTAATCTCGAATGTATACAATCAGCTAACATCATGCCTCCATTACTAGTAAATTGTATGTCTCTTCTAATTTAATCATTGAGGCATTGTAATAAAATCATAATTACCTCGATCTGCCCTCTCCAAAATAGGAAAGACAATCCTCTCCTCCATCTGAGCATGCTCAAGCATCACCTCCAACAACTGGGAGTAACTCCTCCCAAATTTTCTCACCTCCATCCGTGGACTCCCCATCACTGGATCGCCCCTAGCCCTCCCTCCACGTGTCACCAAATCCTGCACCCACCTCACCAACCTCTCCAGATGCCACGTCACACTCCTGTGCTGCAATTTCACTACCCACACGAACAACGGCGTCGTTTCGTCGTAACAATTCACATACCTCATCAATGGCGGGTCGGGAAACTTAGCGTCCAAGTAACGTAAAATGGTCTCCGGAGAGCCCGATACCACGTCGGATTCGAACAGTATGATCGGTGTTTCGGGCCCGAAAAGCGGGTTTTCGGAGGGAGTGAAGTGGAGAGAGATGGGTTTGTATAGGAGAGCGAATCGAATGTACGAGGTCGCAGGGTTTGTGGGTGATCCGTACAGTTTGACGATCGGAGAACTTTTGCTGAAGACGGACGGCGAAATCTCGGCCGTTGATTTCTTCTGGGTTCCGAAGCAGTTTCCCATTGTGTAGTAAGATCAAGAAAAATAGAAAGTACAGGGCGTTTGGATGAAAAGAAAACCAGGGTTCTACTGAGAAAATGTTGACGTTCAAGGTTTTGTGCTTGAATTTGAAGGATTTTTTTAGAAGGTTTGAACTTTGAAGAACTAACAATGAGTTTAAAGCAAGAAAGATAATGGAAAGTGAACAAACGGATGGTACACTTGACAATGCTTAGTTCATAAGAGAGCGGAAAAAAGATTAACCGAATTGAAAATGACACCAGAGAGATAAAGATTCAAGAAATGGGTAGATGAAGATGTACGGGGACTGGGTCTGAGAGATTGGTTGGAAGCCGACAGTATGTGGATGGACAAGGGACAATGGTTTTTGTATGGAAAGAAAATCAGGGTTTACCGAGGAAATGGAGACCTTCAAGATTCTGGGTTTTAACTTTAAGGATTTCTTATAGGGCTTAAAGATCTACACTGAGTTTAAAGCAAAAAAGATGGCAGAGAGAACAGAGGGAGCCTACGGTTAACTGAATTGAAAATGACATTAAAAAAGAGAGAGAGAGATTCAAGAAGTATTCATGAAGTTAACTGATTTGAAAATGACACTAGAGAGAGAAAGATTCAAGAAGTATTCAAGAAATGGTGGAGATCAAGAACTGGACTGGATCTGAGAGATTGGGTTAGAAGCCGGTGGAATGTAGATGGGCTCTGTGAATTTGTCTGGAGTGAAGTAGGTATGTGCTTGTTTTGGCAGAGAGAGAGACAGAGAGAGGGGAAATGGAAGCTCTTTTTCTGGGTTGTGATTGAGAGCACGATGAGGTGCTTGATTGTGTATGGTGTACGCTCCCCCGCCGGAGGCTGGGACCTTAGATGACGTGTTTGTTTGTTTTGCCATTTTCTGGTGAGACTTTTCAGCGGCAAATGTGCCTAACGAAACGATTGTGGGCGTGTAGTCGTTCGATGGACTGATATTAAGACCTCTAATTTGAAGTCAATTACGACTACACCACCGTGTAAGTATTTTCTTTCTATCTGATATGGGCGAATATAATTCTTACTCAAAAGATTAGATTTCTCATATACACCCTCTATATATTATAAGTTTTACAATTTGTTTTGCCGTTAGCTTCCGTTATTCATTTTGTTAAAAATCAATTTATTAAACATAACGAAAATTAATGGTTAAATCACATTATAACACTTTTAATAGATTGAATGTGTAATATAAAAAAATTAATTTTTGAAAATATAAAACAAAAATTTTAAAATTTTTCAAGTTACAAAATGTGTTTCTTCCTTTAGAGAATTCGTGATTTTTTTAAAAAGATAAGAAAAATGCATGCTTTTCACTATATTTCTCACATGATGGTGTATGTGAAAACTAAATTTGATTTTCGGGCTAATAAGAGTTATATGAGTAATGTTAGATTGATCAAATTTTAGGATCAAATTTAGAGCTCAAATGACATGATAGTTAATTATTTAAAATTTTTGTTGGGGCCCAAATAACATGACACCAATCAAAAAAACCCAAGTTAACTACCATGTCATGTGGACTCTAAATTTGATCTAAAAATTTGATCACTTTAACATTACTGGAGATATGTATATACTTTTTTTTATTACAGAATATTCACACCATAACCTTGAACTTGTGACTTTTAATAAGGTTAACTAGTCCTGACCACCCAACCTAGCTCTTAATAATGAACAAGGTATCACTGAGTGGGGCGATCCGTGGAGCATCGATCGAACTTCTCATTTTGAGGTTGATGGTTCGAGTCTTACGATCCATATTAAGATTTGGTGGTTAACGGCTATGCTAGCCTAGTTAGGTTTGAGAGGGGTAACGAGCGCGATCAGAAACCTTATTATTCAACCAGTGAAAATTTATCGAGGTGGTCTCTTGACGCTCTTCTTTACCGCTAATCCTTTCATTTTTTTTTTTAAAAAAAGCTTACAATTCTACTAGAAATTAAGAGAATAATCTAACCAAACCAAATCACCAGAAGTTATGAGAATGTATGTGTAAAATACATTATAAATGAATACATTTGTTCTGACCAAAAAGGATAATAAATTTGTCAAATAATTAAAAAATTTGTTGAAATTGAATTTTATTTTCTCTCAAATGCAGTGAAGCACATAAAGAGAAAGAAGTCCAAAAGTGAAAATTTTTATATACTTGGTAGCTAAAGGAGGAAGATACTAGAAGGCAACCTCGTTCTCTCCTAAATTGTATCCTAATGGATTATTAGAAAAACTTCAATTTACTAAATTTAAGTTCGTATAATCTATGATGAGGAAATTTTTTAGGCATAATCTCGCTTAATTTATTGGTATAAATAAATAAATAAAAATTGTATTTATAATATAAAATATGACAAATTTCAATAAGTTAATCCGACAATCTCAAATAGACTCATCTAACAGCTACTAACATGCCCCTTATAACCATTCATATTACACCGTGTCTTAAGACACGAAATATCCCTAGTTTTCACACAAGTGAAGAGATGCACAGCTGATTCGACCCAACTTCACTATTACTAGAATTTGTCAACATGGTGAGCGGGCAGCGAGACATGGAGTCAACTTACCCTTTTTGTAAATATGAAGACACTCATATAAGTTTTGTGTATTATTCTTCCTGTATTGTTGTCATGTGTTTTGCTCTTACACTAGGTTTTCTGCACATATTATTGATTAAAATCTGAGGCCGTTTGAAAATCTTATTTTCGTGAGATAAAAGACAACAACTTGGATTGTAGAAAAAATATGCATTGTTTGACCCCAAAAGCTTATACAATTATAGATTAATTCAAAATGTTTTCATGAATCAGATAATTGAATATCAATATATGTTTGGACTTGAGCTTTCTGGTCTTTTTGGGCTCTTACGACTACAATAAGATATAGAATAAAGTATGTTCAAAATGTGCATGTATTCCTTTGTATGTTTATATATATATATATAGTTATTGTCCGTGCTTGAATGCATTATACAACAAAAAAAAAATTAATTAAAAAAAATGAGCATTAGCAAGAAAAAAAGTGGTGCACATTGTAACGCCCCAAAAATCGGGGATCCTTAATTTAAGAAAATTCGGACAGAGTCTCTTTTGTAAGAGAGCTCTACCCAAAACACAACATGTATCATATACAATCACATGACTCATCCGAGGTCTAATATACAATATTGACCACACCAGATCCATTTATCCATAGTCATATAACAATATTTAATCACATGACTCGTTCGAGATCCAATATACATCAATTCATACTCCCACATCTTGAATTTATGCATTAAACATAGTTAATACCAGTTCAAAATTATAGTTCTTTTATATATATTGCATGCCCAAAAACTAACTTTGCAAAATTTTTACAAAAATAGATTAAAAGTCACAAGTCGGCCTTTCTTCGTCACTGGGGCCCTCAATAAACACTGTCCAACGACGTGTATTCCCCACCTGAAATGTTTTCTCGTATAGGGTGAGTCACGCTCAATAGGGTATTTTCAACAGAGGTTACTCCTCAACCTAAGTGCATATGAAATGTTCACATGTAACATTCAACAAGCAACAACCATTCCAAACAAGAATATGCAATTCAATGTTGGAATTCTATCATGTCATGCCATGAAATGAGATGACACTCACTCATGCACTTTGACTTTAGCTCTCACCGGCTCCCACAACACAATACAATGTCAATGTGTAATAGACCCGCTATTAATAAAATACATCCAATGATCATTTTGAAATAAAAGTTATGTGTTTATAAAAATAAAATCATTGTTGGATGTTACACATCGAATGACTATTTTATAAAACAAAACCATGTGTCTTTGTTGGATAGCGGAGTTTTGGTGTCGTACCACCGATTCCACACACCGATACACTTTTCCGAAATTTCACTATAGGGGAGTGTATGAGCCAAGTAATCAAGTCTTGCACCCAAAAGAGTATCTAGTCATTCTTGTTATACCCGACACAAGTTTTTCATGCAACTCATGCGACTCTGTTGAACCTTGGTCCAACTATACCGAGTCCACTTGTCAACCACTAAGGATGGTGTTTTACCTAACATCAAGCACACACACCCACACTCATGCCTCATGCCTATGAATGTGATGTCTCCGTGCATATGCAATGTAATGAGCAATTACAACATCAATATCATATCCATATGTAATGAATGCCATATGGATTATTTCTACCACATTTCAACACATACCATGGATAATTACATCCTAAGCAAATAATTTTCATAATTCACCCCAATGCCAATATATCATAAGCACATATCAACATTTGCATTTTCAATTGTAATTCATATTATAAGCATATGATTTCATTTTACCACATTATCCAAACATGTTATCACATAATCTCATGCAATTAATACTTTATTTCACATAGGTATTTTATCAAACACTTTCAAGGCATCAAATCATGTAATCACATAAAATGCTTAAATTTATCACATAACTAAAAAAAAATCAGAATAAATGATTTCCACATACCCAATTATTAAAACTTTCAAGAAATCACAAACTAGCAATTTCTAATTACCAATTCACACTAGAATTGAGCCTACCCATTTTCATTAAACCAACTATAATAGGTAAGTGTTAAAATACACAAAATAGTCCACCCATTTCATATATTTATCCTAGATTGAAAATAAACCTAGTTAGTATGAAAATTCTACCTCTTGAAGCGTCACATCAATGTAGAAAACCTCCAAGAACTTAATTCCAAGCTCAAACCCAAGCTTCCTCCAAAATCTAGTTTTTGAATCTTCGGTGAAATCTTTCGTTTTTGGTATGATTGCGTAGCCCTCGTCGGGGAGATCGACTTTAATACCTAGCTTGAAGAATTCCAACTTGTGGAACTCCGTAGATCTGAGAAAGAAATCTTGAATCTTCTCTTTTTCCTCTCCTCCTCTCTCCAACGTTACAACTAGCAAACCCAGCAGAATAGAAATGCAGAAAATCAGATTTT